TCATCATTTACGGGGAGCACGTAACGCGTTGGCGGTACCTTGTCTTACGTAACTGCCCTAAATATGATCCTTTAGTATCACATTTACTCATATTTTGGGAGATACCAACCTTTCTATTACTCTTCCTTGGATATTACCAACATTATTAACAATTATTAAGCTCGGAGCTTCCGGTCCAATATGTGATAAAGCGAATTCCAGGAACACATAATATAATTAGAACATTGACTACTTTTAGAACATTGAACAGTGTGAGCATAAATCGTGACCAAGAAATAACATACATATGTACACCTACATACCAAGACGTGTTGGCGGTTAGTTTATAAATTCGTAAACATTTCAAATTCTAAAACCTTGCCACAACTTAAAACAATTTCGTAATGGAAAAATCCAAAACAGCAGGTAAGTACTATAAAATTGTTTTCAAAGTGATTACTTAATATTCTGGTCGCTAATTTAACGCGAACTAGGGACGACGCTGTAGCGTTGTTGTTCTTCATTTACATATTTCTTCTGTAATAAAAATAATACGGTCAATTTCTGCAAAATAGGTTACAGAGGTGGAGAACCTATTTGCTAAAATATCCGCATCGTGCCAATAACTGCTCGAAGGGTATTTAAAGCTCAAGTTTCTAGATTGGATAGTAGCGATTGTAAGTGAAATACAATATATGGACGTTATCGAATAATCGAACTTGTGGTAGGATGAAGGGATTCGCCCGTCTGTTCAAGGCTTATGTTTACCCGTGTGTCTACAATACACACAGGCTTTGTGGGCCCATCATTGGAAATGGAGATTAACAGTTACTTGCGATCCTCCAAATACAATTAACCGAAAACAAACTAGAACCTATTGCCATGTTCCTTGGGTTTAGCTCCACGGCACTACCGCGCGTGTTTGTTTGTCAGGAGATTTTGTTGTTAATTGCTTTTCTATTATGCAAATCGATATTTTTATCAGCACAGAAAGTTTGCATTACGATCGGTTTTTTCCTTCCCCGTCTATGTAACCCTCAATAATAATAAAAGCTTCATATCTACGCTGTAAAACTAAAACAGAATTAAAACAGCACTGTCACACTCCTAATTAAAAACTCGAATGCAGTCAAGACAATACACGAAACGAAGTGTTTATTTTGTTTGAAATTTATTTGCGCTGTAGTACAGTGACGCTGTCAATGAGACTGCGAGCTGGCTGCGGCGGGCTGCGGGGACCGGCGCCGCTTGCAGGGGCCTGCCACTGCCTGCAGCTTGCTCCGTGACTGACACCCGTAATTATGCGCCCCTGACGCCGCCGGCTTCACGACAAACTTTTAATTGAACCGATGAAACAGTTTTTGGCTCTCTATTTTATAAAATTGTTGGCGGAAAACTTTTTACAATATTAATATTACATTTTGTTTAATTGGCTTTCTTACTAAGTGTTATACATACGATAGAGTTGGTAGGTACCTACTTCCAACTTCTTTACTAATTTAATAGGAAAGTTCCAAGCGTTCCAATACATTGAACTTTTTGAAAGAATCTTTATCAAAGAATATAAGTCAGTTGTTGTTTCATCTTATGTTATGGTAAGTTATTTACAGAAATATTTTAATTATAAAGATATTGTAAATTAAAATCTTGGATTTCCCTTTCCTTTCATAATAATTCTGAACAAATGTTAAATTAAGGTGAAAAATATCTAATACATATTTATGAGCAAAATGAAGTTTTTTTCATAAAATTCAATCAAAGCGACCTTTTTCGTTTGAGATATGTAAATTGTTTGTTGTTTCGACAGAAGCCACGCGAATCTGCTCACAGAATAAGTTATTCCTTCGCTAAATACGGCATGAGCTCTATTGAATCTCTTCTAAACGTTTAGGTTCGTTTTATTTTTACTTTACCTTAGAATTTCTTTGACTACCTTTTTAAATAAATATATTTAGTAAATAAAATTACACGTGACATTGTCTGTCATCTAAACGAATCATACATTCTGTGACACGTCGTTGGATAACATCAAATCAAAATAAATCACACATCTTTAGGTTTACATTAAAGTGTCTACATTCCACGAAATACATTTTCAAAAGATATTTCAGAGCTTTTAACTAATATTCAGTTATCGCTCACCCCTTGCTTCAATAAGGCTTGGATCCTTTCCAAATGACGTACTTTAAAAAGATTACAGTCGCCGTCAAATATAATCTTTTCATAAATTGAGTGTTGTAAATCGGTCGCGCGGGTCAACCGGACTCGAGTGTAAAGCACGTCTTCGCTGTAACATTTCAAATCTGCACCAATCCAATTTGCACAAAACTGTTGTATAATCAAGTCGTTTAAATTCACATTCACCAAAAAATACGACCGTGTATTTCTATTCGTGTTTATAGTTTGTGTTAACTGTGGTTGAATATTTTTGCATAATTATTGCTTTTTCACCAAAACATGTTAGCACCGTCTGCGGTTTTATTCCTTTGGGGACGAGCGGTGACTGAAAGTTGGTGTGATAATCAGATGGAACATTATTTTTAATGTGTGGCATTAATTTTGCAATTTTTAATTATGGAGGGATTGCATTTGCAATTTCTGAGTAAGGATTTGAATACGTAGGTTTGCGCATTAATCACCACGCTTGCTCAATGCAGGTTGGCGATTACAAACTTATCATTAGAATTTATAAGCCCAGGTTCCTCACGATGTTTTCCTTTACCGTTTGTCAGTGGTGTCTAGATAATCTTAGAAAGTACATATAATTATGAAAAAGTCACATTGGTACTTGCCGTTGGTAGGTTTCGAACCCGCACCCTCATGCGTGAAAAGCGGGCGTCTTAAACCTCCGGGCCACCACGACTGTTATACCGACATAGAGATGTTGATTTTGGGAAAATGTTCACTTCGTGTTGCAGGGGGACTGTAATAATTCCAACGTAGTAGAAATTTACTTTGGTCTATAATAGTGAATTTAACATTTTACTTAATTAACTAATCTTTAACATTCTTGTAAAATACTGCAGTAGCATTTTATACTATCTATAAACTTGAAACGATTTTATAGCATATCCTGGTTTTCTCCGCATTGAAATATACTGCAGTTTCTGATTACTGGCCGCCACATAAACTTTCTCATGTTAAGTTGATCGTGGTACGTTTTACTTCTATACAATTTTCGCGCAACATTGTTGCGAGTGGAAGCGTTGAGCCGAAACTCTAGTCTCAAGGGGCGAATATTTTCAAAGTTGTCGACGAGCCGCCATTTTGTGTTGCAAAAATATCTAATAGAATTTAAGCTCAGTTGTTAATAACGAACCATTAAGGCGCTGACACACGTCATGTCGCCGCTTGTCTGTCTAAACAGATTTTGAACTTCGTTTGTTTTGGAACGAATTTAAAATTGTTGTCTCGATTGTGTAAACTGGGGTGTATTCTAGTAGTAACTAAAAATATTGTTCATGAATCAGTTTTCAAAACTTGCGAATATTGAACTTGTCGAAAAGAGATTGTAATTTAATCACGAAATCCCAATAATCGAATGGTAAATCGCACGTCATGATACCCCATCATATGTTAGTACGATTGTATCGAAATTTCACGGATAATCAAGGGCGGCTGGCTAATGAACATCATTATCAGATATTTGTGCCGATGAGTAATGCACGGAGGGCGGGAGGAGGGCAGCGAGCCGAGGAAATTGCCAATTAATGTGTCCGCCGACTGCTCCCCGATACTCGCCCCATCGCTATTTTAAGACGGTGATACAGCAAGTGTTAGTAGCGCAACTATTTATTCTTAGCTTACTTACAACTTTGTAGAGAGCACTATGAATTCGTCATGAGATTCGAATAAAGATAAGGAGACGCTAGAACTACATGACGGGAACATAAAAACCTAAATCACGTTTTACTGATCCCCTTTTTTCGGTGCGAACGAAAACTGTCCAAAGGCCGGGTTTACAACTCCCGGAGCGGTGGAGCGGTATTACTTACCGAAAACATTAGTCAGGTGCTTATTTTTATGAGTTAACAAGTCGCCGGCACATTTTATGGTGGTAATTCCCTCGCAATGTAGTGTGTCCGAGGCTTAAGCCCCCAGATACCTTTCGTCGGGGAGTCGAGATTTATTCGATTCTTTTTTCTTCTCTGAATACATTATTCTTATTTGTAAATAATTACTTCTTTCGTCGGTTCGTCCTCCTGAGATTAAGGTCGTGACTGCTTTACTTTATGTGATTATATTACATGTTTTTTATTGCTCGGGATCAAATAACATGCTTTAATTAGAATTGAATATGGCAATGGACGGTTGTTTGTGTCGTGAGTAATACGAACATAGGTGTAGTGTGTATGTGTGTGAATGTCAGGGGACTAGTGAATTCCATTTACAGTAAAAGGTATTTTATGAAGAGTGCCCGTAACTATTCAGTGAATACCCATTTCAAATTTTGTAGAATATTCACGATACATTGCCATTACTTATGGAGATGTAAAATAACTACAGGATTCTACATTTCTATAGCATAATGAAAGTCTATTCAATTAATGTAATAACCTTTACGGACAATTTTCTTCAAACAATACCTAAGTTACTTTTTATTACAAATCGCGGTCATAATAGCAGCCTAAAATAATATTTATGAGCATTTCCCAACTTCGAACAGGCGCACAACAATAGAGATAAGTGATATAAATAGGGTATTACAAACACGAGCAAATAGAAATATTATCTACACACAATAGCCAGGTAATCCGGCAACCGACAGCTGCTTTTAACATGGCACCCTCTTGTTTTATTTCATTACGCACACATATGCAGAAATCTGCGCAATTCAGTTTAACGTACATGTCTGGTTGTGTTCGGGAATGATATTGGATATTGTGTGAACAAGCAGCAATTGTAGCGGTACATGCTATTGGAGGGAATAATTCACGTGGCTCAGTGCAGCCGCCCCGGGGGATGCGCGAATTTGCCGACCTACGGGTTACGGCAGTTGGCTACGGGCCGTAGTGTCGGCGCTACGCTGCCGCTACGCCGTGCTACGAACTACGCGGTTGGGTAAACACGTGCGCGCTCTCGTATTTATTATTATCTGTGCTGCATAGACTAGTGGAAAGTTTGCTACATTACTTTTCTGTGTTTCCTATACTTTCATTTTAGCGTTGGAAGTTTATCGTACGTGTAAGTATAATTTGTAAAATAAACAATTAAAAATTAATAGAATTATAATTTAATAGAAACAATCTCATTATTTGGTTATCATTAATTTATCGAAAATTAAATTTTATCCATACAAACGTAATTGTTGACGATTTAGTTTTGTCACTGAAATTCACGTAATGTTCGCGTAGGAGTACGTTTAGGTATTCTTTATCTACTTACATGATAACTATTACACTATAAATTTATTTGTTTTGAATTTTTTTTTTCATTATAAATTGAAAGAAAATGACTAATAATACTCTGAAGTTGTTTGTTAGATGTCGAGACATACGTTTAATGTTGCGAAGTTTTTAAGTTTATATTTGAATTTGTCTTTTGAGTATACTTGTAAACTTAAGTCTTGGGAACAGCAAATTACGTTAGCACGTCGATTGTGATAGATAAATCTGTAAAATAACATTTTGATGAATAAAGGCAGTGATGATATTCCATACTGCCACCATCATTACAACACTCTTAAAAAACTTAAAATAAGAAGTGGTTGCCTTAAAACAAGAAAATTTTTTTGATCTCTTAAATTAGGTCCCCGTAAAACAAGATGTAAATTAATTAATTAATAGTTGCTACACAACATATTCACTAATTAATGACTATGTAAAAGAGGCCACATTTATTTTAGTGAGCGTTGTCTTTGTTCTTAATTAGGGAGATTATAATTTTATAAGTAATTTTTCTTTGTTACTGTATATTCTAATTACATTTGCTTTCAAGGCAAATCTATGTCTACATATATAAAAATGAATTGCTGTTTGTTAGCCTCGCTAAAACTCGCAAACGGCTGGACCGAATTGGCTAATTTTGGTCTTTAGTTATTTATGAATCTAGGGAAAGGGTTCGTAAATCTTACAAAAATCTAGGGAAGGTTTAAAAGGTGGGAAATAAGTTTTTGAGGCGGTATGAAGTTTGTCGTGTCAGCTACTAAATGTACATATATATATATTTTTAGCAAACATGGACGTTATAGTAAACTACTCTATTGTGGAAAAGGTTTAAGTCTAGGGGAGTCGGCTGTCCCGGGCTATTGATGATGACGATAATATTTTTCATTTCCAGGGTTTTCAAGAACTGAAAACTTCAATACAAATAATTTGAGAACAGTCGAAAAGTTTATAAAAGAGTACAGTCAGTGACTTTTAGTGTTTATCTCTGTACTGTTGTGAGCGTGATCAGAACAATGTACTCATCAATGTGGTTTATGAGCATCGTGGCTCTTCTGGTGGTGGATGTCAGGACTGGAGCCTTGCAGGATGGAGGTAAGGATGAACATTATAGAGGTTAGCGGTTTATTTTATTTCTTTCTACCAGAAACCAGGAAAACTAGCAATCGTCTAACTAATAATATCTTCTGATTCACTTCGTTGCGGGAACCAAGACAGTTTCTCATGTCCCTGGGACGCGCCGGACTTCAGTGTTCCGATGTTTTCATGGTTGTATCTACTGTAGGTCCTGGCTTACAGGAGTTGCAGCTGTTTTGGGCTTGTTCCAGTTAAAAAAAAAAATAAACCGTTTAACTTCTGGCCTGATTTTAACTCATACTCTCATCACTCATACATACATACTTCCTCTATCAGATGCTAATCATATTCTGAACATAAACTGTTTTTTATTTATTTGTTATCTTCAAATAATAACACTCAACTAAAATAATTGAAACAAATCTAATTAAATCAAATCGCAATTTTTCTCCATTGTAAATGTATACGTAATTACGTAGCAGGACAAATGATTCTTTTTCATTAAGATAACGAAGGCACCCCGATTGATTGATTACTCCTGGTCACTGTGTGTCGGCTCAAACAATTAACTGCGGGGATCTTCGCAATATGTTTGCAAATCATTAAACAAGGAAACAATAATCAATCCCTTTTAACCATATTAAATCAAGCTTGAATATCATTACCAGTAATATTAAATACTATGTTAACCATATGCGTAACAATACACAAACCTAGAACTTTCTATGACAATGTTTGGAAAGTTTTATTTCATTCTGGTATTTGCTGAAGTACACAGTACATTTTTTATCTAGTGTGTCTAACTTATTATCACAAAGAGTACACAAAGACTAATTACTGGATTTTTACTGAGGATTTATGAGTGAGAAACCTTAACTTGACTTTACCAACTCAACACTAAAACAAAGGTCACATGCTCGATAGTAATGGTTACACATCTAAGACTATTGGTTTTAGAGGTCTTAAAAAACCAACTTCAAAAAACCAAAAACTAACAAAATGTCAAAACTAAAAAAGCAAAGAATAACTATAATTAGTTCTGATAGGTTACTCACCCACTGATAGGTAAGAAGTCGGTGCCATAAGCTCATATCATAATGATTTTTGAAGTCGGTAAAAATGACTATCGTGAGACATACTAAATCAACTAAAAATCGCCGTCACCGCGCACGCTGCCCATGAGGCAGAGCCCCTCTGTGGTTCGAAACTAATAGAGCTTTTCTCAGTACATTCACGTGAATAACCCGCGATTTGTAGTTAATCTTAAAGGTACTTTATAGTAATATATGATGAATGTCAGTTATCTCCATAAAATACGACTAAAAATACTTTTAATCTCTGTCAAGAATGAGATAGTACCTAAGTAAGTCATTTCAGTGCATCATGATTAACTATGATAAAAACGTAACACACGTTCATAAACTCACAAAAGTAGTTTTAAACCTTAACTCTGGCAGTAATATGTCATATTCTTCTTTATCACCGGTATGAGGTAGAAATAGCTTATGCTCCGGTAAAGACGTCACTCGTTCGGTTCAGTTAGCTTGTTAGTTGGTTGACTGTCTAGGGTGAAAGAAAATTTAATATAGAAATATAGTATTTAAATGACTAAAGACAAATCGTTGCACAATTGTTAAGAAAAATAAATCACCTTGTCGTATGAAAGTATTCTTGATTGATTCCGTAATTATCAGTAGTTCCACGATAGCATTTAACTTTGCCTTGACTAGAATTGCTCTCCATTACATTCCCTTATTAGGTACATAAAATATTAGTTATCATTGTTTTAGTTTAAAAAAACAACGTTGCCCCACACTAGGTTTTTATCCTGCGTTGTGGGTACAAACACACAGTATCACATACACATGACACTCAGACCCGAAACAACAATTTGTGAATTACATAAAGAATTGCTCCGTGCGGCATTCGAACCCACTACACGTTGTGCAGCAGCCGGTTTCCCAGCCACCCAACCGTGCAGTCGAGTTATCTAAAACACTAATAAGTTTCATTATAAAACAGTCAAACACCGCGAGGACACCGGTGACCGCAACCTATTGTTCTTTAATTGTGTCTATAATGACGGTACTCAACGAGTTAATATTCTCAGACATCAAATAAAATATACTGAAACTTCCGAAAAACCAGAGGCAAGTCACATAAAAATCAAATCAAACAAAGGATTCCTACGTTCATAGCTGGCACTTAATATTGCTCGTTTCGTGCAATTCTTACGTACCTGCAATCGTTCAGACCACTTTTAGTTTTAAAGCAATTCACTGCACATCCCACGGAAGGTATTCCTTTATCTATAGTCGAGCGAAACGAGGGCCAATAATCCCTGCTCTCAGGCTCGCGTCGGGTTTCCTTGTCCGGACTATACATACTAACGAGCTTTCTATCAGAACGGTCGACTCTGACTTGACTGTTAACTATTAAGAGGCAAACTTTGCAATTATAAGTGTATCGACTGTTGCTATCGATTTGTATGTCTGTTTGGTTTGCTTGGGACTTGAGTTATATTGAAGATCGATACTGTTTGTCGATAAATGTAATTAGTTTGAATTTCGATTGTACTTTTGATACTAAACGTTGCAGTATCCATGATTGGCTGACATATTAGAGACTGTAAATCCACTTTTAGGTTACTAGCAAATAAATGCACTCCTATTCAATCACTTTGTGCATATCAGTTTTCTGTATATATGTATTACTATCCAATGGCCCCAAATTTTATGAACACTCCTTCCCAACTTTACCGAATTGTAAATAATATCGGTTAATTTTTATATTTACTAATTAATACCTACTTTTCTGTTAGAGAAAAGCAAAACCGGAGACCAGTTTAATAGTTTTAATGAACGTAAGATAGAACACGACGTTCTGTGTTCAGAACAAACGATGCATCAAACTACGTGTCATCCCGCCGCTGCAGCGGTTTAGAAAACAAGTTTCCATAACGAACTCGGTTGTTTGTTTATTTCAAAAATTTCCATGTTCGCAGCGCACCGCATGGAGAAATTGTACCCAGTGAATGTTACCTGGGATGGTGCAGAGGGTTGCGCGGGGCGGGTACGAACCGACCAACCCACTTCAAAGGACGCACTTCGTTTAAAATTTTATTCAACTTCAGCTTGAATCAGAGGAGGAATTAAAACAAAATGTCGTTTTACGACGGCTTACAAAGTTTCCCTTTCTTTTACTACCTGATTGGGACGTTTTATTCCAAATGTTATCGTTAATCGATTAATTTTTCTCTTTGTTCCAACGAAGTCAACTTAATGCTTCCTTTGGATGAACGGAAAATTATTTGAAACGAGTTTTGCTTCATGGAGTTTGCAACTGTACCGATTACCGATTGTGTACTTAACTAGTTTTATTTGTGACTATGTGTACTATCGGATTCCAATTCAAGTAAAAAACGTATTCGCTTTTGAAATTGCGTCACCGCATTACAGATATCTCATTTTATGTTCACCTCAGATAATAAACATTTACAACCGAACACGTCGGGAAATTCAAAAGTTATTTCGACACACGAATGGAAGACATACATATCTACGTAGGTGGTTGAAACGACTTCGTCATTCCGTGAAATATCTGAACACATTCTAATAGGAAATTCAATGTTACAATTTCCGGAAATCAAATAGCTTATTGAATAGGGCAAGGGTTCCAGTCTATGTGGCAGACGGCGGGATGTTTTATGCCCTGTTTGAATAAGGGACGGGGTGGTAAATACTGGCCAATATCAAACTTTGGCAGACGACGCCGGGAGCAAGAACTGTATAACTGTGAAGATATATTAGTGTGTTCGATATGGATTTGTTTTGGTTATATTCTTGTGGATTGGGGTGCTGTGATCGCTAAATTAAATGATGTTTTGTTGATGCGAATTGAAAATGTTCAATTAAACCTCTGCGTGTTCAAATTGGAGTTGTGTTTAGTTATATGCGTATTGAGAAATTTCATAGTATAAATGATTCATATTTGGTACATATCTTTAGATTTCACATTGAAATTAGTACTAAAGTGTAAGGTCCAATGTCTGTGATGACATACTCAAACATTTCTAGGGTATATAATCATGTATCTGTCGTTAGATGTGACTACTAAAGATACTTTAAATTTTGACATAAACTCCAAAAAACTGCGTCGAAATTATATATAATCATTCGTGATGAGGTTCATTGCCAAAAAAGTTATTTTTGAAGTTTCCTCTCTGAAATTTTCCATCAGAAATATCTCACGTTTTCCTTCGAAAAATCAGGAAAATAGGCAATATAATACGCGAACACGTTTGTATGGGCGACTATTTTAGAGATGAATAGAGCCTTCCTCGAATCTAGCACAAATACTCCCTTTTCCCTCCACACATATTATATGTATGTGTGTGGGTATATCTTAACCTTTTTGAAAGGAGTGAAGGACAAGTGAGTAGTTGAAGCTTTGTACAAAAGGTCAATGTGATCTTCCAGGCTCACCTTACGATATTTGTTCACACATTAATTTTCGTGAGGTAATGTTTTTAATTAACATGCTATTTATATTGCATTTTCATTGTTTTGTCAGTCGAAAAAAGTCAGAAAAAAAACAATTTTTTATTGAGTTTCAGAAATAAGACTCTTTAATTTGTGGATACTTTTACTCAAAACAATATTTTTGTAATCGTGCTTAATGTAAAACCATCGGCTTGTTCTTTACTATGTGGGTACTTTTATGTGGTGTGCCAATTCCTATGTCATCTATCATCATTTTTATCTACTCGAAAATACTCTTGCAATAGAAAATGTACTTACCCGAGAGCCACAAAGATAACACAGATTAAACCTGCTTTTAACCAGTATTTTTAATTAATCCCTTAAACTATAACGTCCAAAGCTGTAGCAGTCATGTTGTATCATTTTGTAATTAGGTCGTTTCAGTGTATCGTAGCTAAAAAGAGAATAAAACCTCCTTTCCTTTGGTGAAACTCTTTTATAAAAGGTGCGCTGCAGCTAACTAAACCGATCGAAGCA